AGACGGGGCGGGGCCAAAAGCCCCGCAGAGCCCCCTCGGAGCTGCCCGTGCGTGCCTTGAGAGTGACACTGGAGCTCAGCCACCGCTGAGAAACTGATTCTGGTTTTTTAGGGAATGGGCATAATCGAGATAGACTAGCTCCTGTTATTAAGTTATTTAAATGTTATTCATGTCACAGTCTTGTGTATTTGGGGAAATAATCCTAAATTTATCCTAATCTTAATAATCCTAATCTTAAAGCTGCAACCACTCTTGACAGCTATTATGAACATAAATGAAATATTTCAGGTTCCCCGTAGTTTTAGGTTGGAAATTAGGAAAAATTTCTTTACGGAAAGGGTGGTCAAGAATTGGAACAGGCTGCCCAGAGAAGTGGTGGAGTCACCATCCCTGGAAGTGTTCAAAAAACGGGTAGATGTGGCACTTCGGGACATGGTTTAGTCTAGTCTACCCTTGATTGGCTTAGAGTAGACTTGGTAGTGTAGGTTAATGGTTGGACTGGATGATCTTGAAGGTCTTTTCCAACCTAAACGATTCTATGATTCTATTCTATGATTCTATTTGACTTTTATGAAATTTGTGTTCAGGCATCACTGTCCACTTGTAAGTACTGTACTCTCTGTCACAAAAGCAGAGGCATCCCTTTAAAGCAGTGACATGGATATGTATACAGAGGGAAAAGGATCACATGGGGGAAAAAGCTGCTGAGGGAATACCTGAGCAGTACAGATAAGTTCAGTGAACAAATCAGTGTATTAGAGCCGGCCACTGTACAGGCTAGACCAACGTTTTCTCTCTTTGAAATAGCTTTTCTTCCATTGTAAATGTTAAAGGCATTGTCCTGGTTTCAGCTGCGTGGTGCTTAGTTGCTGGCTGGGGCTAAATCACGACAGGCATATGCTGCCAGAAATGAGGGTTTATCGTTGCCTGCTAGCCAGAAGCTAATGCTGTTCCACACTGAATGTTTCTTAATTTACATCACTGCAGCTCCTCACTTGAAGGCACTATCCACTTCAAAAAGGAGGGGTGATCTGTCCTCTGCTAACTCTCTTCAGACCTGAGATCCTTTTCAGTCTTTAAACTGCAGCCAGCTGTGTTCCTCTCAAGTTTGCTAGTTTGGAAAGCAAAAAGCAATGTCAGTGCCTGTGGAACGTGAGGGCCTCCAAGCCCTGCATCTGTGAGTCATCATCAGCCATGAAAGCAACACCTCTCACACACCTAGGACAACGTGCGAAGCACGTAATGAAGGGCATCACACAACAAAAATTGTATCACGTCAGGGAATGGGCTGCCTGGGGAGATTTTACCAATCTGTCCTGTGATATCCCAGGTGTTTGTTTGGTACCATTTTGGCTTTAATAACTAAATCTACAATAATTCAGCTTTGGGGAAGGGAATTTTATCTGCAGTAAGGTGCCTTCTTTTGTCAAGAAGGCAGAGAAGCTGCAGAGAGGCTGGCAGAGGCTGCTTAGTGAGACAGTGAATGAAGTTAAGACTTTCTGAGCACTGGAGACTGTGCCTCTCTCTGCCCTGGGTCCCAGCGTGCACCGGCCAAGGAAGCAGCAGAACTGGAGCAAAACTGGAGGGAGGGGTCTGAAAAGGGCCCCAGCTGATGATCGCAGAGAACAGAAGAATAAGGTTCACCGTTTTCTTCCAAACCCTGAAACAGAATCCAGGATTCTCACATCTAAACCCTCACCTGTGACTTCGCAGCAAGTGCCGGTGAAACTACTGGGTAGTGCTGCACCTTTCTTCTTTCTAATTCTAGCCCCTAAGGACAAAGAAATAGCTATGACTGCTCCCTCGTGTAGAGGATGCCTGTGTGGTGTCAAGTCTACAGATAATCAATACCCTTTCTGTATGAGATGACAGCTTACCATTTCCTCTATTTTTCTGCATCTTTTTAAAAAGGAAAAACATTCAAGAGAGACTTTTTTATAGTACAGATTTGCAAGGAAATGAAGTTAACACTTCCCTGACAGTCTTAGTCTTGGCCTTTTAAAAAGAGAGCCCTGTGTGACAACCCTGGGGTGGTTCATTTAAAAAAAAAAATAGCATAAGTAATGGGAAGCACAGAAGATTTAAGTAAACAGCAGCAATCCATATTGCACAGGTTAGTATGGTTTCAGGAGCAATTCAGATAGCAAACCATGGCACTGAGCAGTTCACAAATAAGGTATGTGAACACTTACCTTGTTCAGCCCATCACTGTGGGTTTGCATCAAAAGATAGCTGTTCAATAACTGCGGACTTTCCAAGCAGTCCCTTGAGCCTGTCAGCAAGTTGCGCGAGCTTCTCTGATTGTCACCAGGGAAACTATGGACCCGTTCTGTACGTGGTCAGCCTTCCAGAGATGAGGCTATTACCAGGAGCTATCATCAGAAAAGACATCTCAGGACTAATTTCCCTAGCTAGAAATTGCATTACTAGTGCGTATGAAAGGACAAGTTCTTAACTCTGTAGAGGCTTCTGATGCTATGGTTGGTTCAGCTGGCAAAACTACTGTCAAGTTTTCTAAAGCTTTGAGTTCAAACACATGTTTTAATCTAATCTGTGTTATATGATTTAAACCTGATTAAATCTAACACCTGAAGGAACAGTCTAAAAATAGATATGTTGCTCTCTGCTTTGCTAGATATATCTGGAGAAAGTAGTAAAATGCAACAAATTGGAACCCAACTATATATTAGTTCAAAAATGTCATCAATTATGAGATTTTTTTGAAACTCAGTCACTTTGGAGTTTAATTAAAATGGTTTTGAAAATGTTAACAATAATGTTGACATTCCCAGTGGTAAAATGGCAAATTAATTTTTAATTAAATGATAAGTAATCAACATCGCTGTTAAAATGAAAGAGAAGAAACGTGCCAGTTTTGAAGCCAATAGGAAATAGTTCTGTGATAACAGAAGATCAAAGATGGCATGGTCTAATTAAAATACAAAATGATGTGTGAATATCAAAGGGATACCTGCAGCTCCAACAGATATTGTCAAGTAACAGGACAGGCACCTGATTTCTTCTAGAATCATCTTTGTTTCCACTGGCTCCAAACTCTGTATTTTGTCACAGCCTGTATAGTGAATCAAATGCAAAGCTGGGAAATGAACCTGGTTTTACTGTCAGAGCTCCTCCGAGAGGGTTTAAAAGTTTCACTGATGTTATATCAGTCTGTTGGTAAACTGAGCAACTCAAGCCTGAATAAAAAAGTAGTAGTATTAGAGATAGCTAAAACTTGATCTTTAATCTTAAATTCTGTCCTTGTTTTCTGTCTTCTCCCTCTCCACACCTAGAGGCTTCCCCTGGGTACAGAGGAGGCTACATGGCTCCTGTATAACAGAAATGTGACACAGCAGAAGGCTGAATTCCTGATTAATGGCAGCTCCTTCCACTTTAACTGCAACTATTTAAGCCAAGTAATAAAACAAAAAGAAAAATCAATAATCAGATTGTGCCTCTGTTTCAGATGGATACACTACTGATGATATTGAATTTTACTGGAATGGAGGAGAGTCGGCAGTAACGGGAGTTAATAACATCGAACTCCCACAATTTTCTATTGTTGATTACAAGATGGTATCAAAGAGAGTGGAATTTACAACAGGTAAGCACTGGCTAGTTAAAAAAGCTTCTCCCTCTTCCCCAACCCAGAAATATCAGTGTCTAACTTTTGTTAGGCATTAGTCATTATATGGCTTCTTTCTTTCAGGAGCATATCCTCGATTATCACTTAGCTTCCGGCTTAAAAGAAATATTGGATACTTCATTTTGCAAACCTATATGCCTTCCACGCTGATCACAATTCTGTCATGGGTATCTTTTTGGATCAATTATGATGCCTCTGCAGCCAGAGTTGCTCTAGGTAACTTCTTTTCAAAATCACTGAACTACATAGATAATTGTTGCCTTTGAAAACAGTAGCACGAAATCCATACAGCTGATTGCAGCAGCATTAATGGTAATCTTACACACACAGCACAGGGTCTTCATTATCAGGAAGGCAGGCAGATGTCACCTTGCCTACATCTGAAGTTCTTGCTCTGCAGTCAGGTTGGGATCTTGACTGACTTCCAGTTGCCTTAATGGTCTTTGGATCAGGCCAAAAGTATCTTGCTTCCAAACTGAAGCGTAAAGGCCTAATTCAGGTATCTAAGGGTATCTACACTGTGCTGCATCAATGTTTTATTGATGTTAAAAAGCATCTTCTCAGGCCAGATGTGTGGCTGGAATGAATACACAAGGTCCTATTGGTATCAATGGAGATATACCAGCTTATATCAAATAAGCGTGTTTTACCTACATAGTTGGTTATTTCCCATACCATATTCCTTCCTACAACTTTCCATAAGAGCCAAGATCTTCTACCACCATCTATGCTTTAAGGTACATATGCTTTTCACATGCTAAAGCCAGAAAGCCATTTTGTCCCACGTCTCTGTAAATTCAACTCATTACACCTGTGCCTAGAGCTATTATCTAGATGCATTAATGACCTGTGATTAAAGCAGACTAAAAAATCATTTCATCCAGCTAAAACAAAACACACACCCCCCACCAAAAAAAAAAAAAAAAAAAAAAAAGAAAGAATACAGATAAAAAAAAACACACCCCCCCCCCAAAAAAAAAAAAAAAAAAAAAAAAAGAAAGAATAATGCAGTGATGGATAACACAATGAGATAGAAATGCTTTACTTGCAAGCATCCCTTTAACAGGAAAAGCTGTTTTGGTACAAGCCTATATATCACTTTTTCTTCATCAAAGACCATCACCTTATCACAAAGCTTCCCTTTCTCCTTTCGATCCTCTGTTTTCTTTCAAAAGCTAGATACTTATTCCAGCTCCCCAGAGCAATGCAAGCCATCCTATAGGGTCAAGCAGGACTACTGCTGTAAATAAAGTGAGAAGCATTTCCTCACATAGAAAGAACAGTGATCAACTCGTTGCTATCCAGGTCAGCTAACACCACATTCCCTAGCAGAGTTATTGTAAAAATTAAGGCAAGATGAGCCAAGACAGCCTGGGCTTTTGAAGGCTATTTCATTCACCCTCCATTGCATAGAAAGCCAAGGAGGGTGCTATCAGCAGGCCTGCAAGGATATCTTCCTTTCCAATTAGTCAATGTCTTTTTCTTCTTTTCACAGGAATCACAACTGTGCTGACCATGACCACCATCAGCACCCACCTCAGGGAGACCTTGCCAAAGATTCCCTACGTCAAGGCAATAGATATTTACCTGATGGGATGCTTTGTGTTTGTGTTCCTGGCCTTGCTGGAATATGCCTTTGTAAACTACATATTCTTTGGCAAAGGACCCCAACGTCAAAAAAAGGCAGCAGGCAGGGCAGGACACACTACAGGCGAGAAGAGCAGACTGGAAACAAATAGAGTCCAGGTAAAAATTTCAAGCTAACTTTTCAAACATTATTTCTGCTGTGACAATGTTGATGTATATGATGATAGAGATAAATGCAGTTTGAACACATATGCAAAAGCCTTTAAGATTATCTAGAGAAATATCATATTTTAAGGAGATTACAGCAACATATGGTTTGTTCCATCTTCAGCTGAAAACAGAGTAAGAAACTATACAAAATGCAAATGAATATTCAGAACAAGCATTTCTTTGCAGCACAGAAGAAATACAAGGGGTACAAGGAAGTTAAATATTTACCACTCCAACTGTATATTTCTTTGCTATAGAAGGTGGTATAGAAGGAATGTTTATTATATAGTTCCTCTTTACACACAGAAACTTCACCAAAAATAGAAAGCAAAGACAGACACTGTTGCTTCAGTGGGTCTTGAATGAAGCCCACACCACTGAGCTTCCAGGAAGGCAAGGAGGATGCTGCTAGGTTATAACAGCTTTCACAGACATCAGGATTTTTGCCTCAGGCTAAATTCAAGCAGATCACAGCCACCCCCTCTTAAAAAAACAAGCCAGACAAACTCCAGGAAGTAATACTATGAACATTTTTGTAACAGGAAAAAGTTTAATTTAGCAGTACATCACTGAGCACTTGCAAACTTCCATAAACCCATTCTGTTTTTTCCCAGTTTTTCCAAAATAAACTCTTCCCTCAGGTGTATTTGGCCCTGACTCAGAGGAAAATACATATCTTAATGAGCCAAAGATTTTCTTCTGTTCTCTGCTTTTCTTACAATATATTAAATCCAAATATTAATGAGCTCTTACCCAGGGTATCCTATAAACTTCTGTACTGTTGTGGCCTGAGGTGATAACATCTGGACTAAACTATATTTGAGCCCCCTGTTCAGCTTGAAGAATGAGACCAACACATAAAACAGGTAAGACTTTAGCTTGATGGATGGTTGTAATTTCACATACATGTCAGGAAGTGCATTTCAGAAACTCTGTGATATTCTACTAGTTCTGGAGTTGTGTGTCGTGTATCCCAGCAGCCACACCACTACAGTTAAGCATCATTAACAGAGTCATCATGTCCTCAGTCTCAATGAACTCATGAGCCCAGTAAAAGTCCTTACCAGCATTTGCCTCCTGTCCCAATGTGTAGGAGATGCTTTATTCCAGTGGGTGCACACATTCAGTTCAGGCTTGCAGCAGTCTCCAAGGTCCCACAAAGTATTGTCCTCCACAGAGCAGAGGAGATGAGTCACCCCATTACGGATTGTTGTGCGCAGACACTGTCTATCTATTTCTGTGGAAGATAAGGAAGGGAAAAAACCCAACAAAACCCACAAACTCTGACCAGCCACCCCAACAGCTCCTGAGATAACCCAGCCTAGGGGAGAAGAAGCACAGCAAGGGATCATGATGAAGAGGGACGCAACAGTTCTTCAGAGGTCAGCCTTGGCTACATGGGCCCCAGTGCACTGAACTGAGTAAAGGATGAAAAAGTGTAAAGGATAAGAGTACAGGTAAGCTCTTCTTCCTACATATTTGGAGACTTTGTTTAACAAAAAGCCCTAACTCATGACTAAAAATGTTTGTCTAAATGTTATGCTGGCAAAGATTACGCTGAGACCAGTACTCAGACTGGGATGGAAAGTATTTACAAACACACTTGAACTTTTCAGAGCACCACATGCATATATCAGCATTTTTCTGACAGAAAATGGAAGGCATACATGTTTTGTACCGGGATTTGTAAGTGTTCACGCTTTAGACTGCAATTCATTCTGAGACTGAGAATGCTTTAAGTGAACAGACAGCTTTCTGCCTGTACAGTGCAGGTTTGTGATTCTAGATATATATATATCTCTCTCTACACATACACATAGACACACACACGTGAATGGATATCAATGGATTTTGTTATCCCACTGGAGATATATTGATGTGGGACCTTATGAGCATTCATTTTACTCAGCATGGAAATCCTGATGTCCAACAGCCATATTTCTGTCTTTGGCAGGAAGAATGTACATGACTGGAGCAGTGGGACACAGAAAGTTTATGTGATCTCTAGTGAAGACAGCTCCCAGCTCCTCTCCATCATGTTCTGAGATTTTTCACTGGCATTATGATGTCTGTACCAGAGCAGGGGAAAGTTTTTCTGGAGCACAAAAGAAGTTCAGCTGTGAGTATATACAGCTATGATATTTTTTTCCCTTTTATTCTTGACCCATACCACTTAACCGTATATAGGGACCTATAACCACAGAAGATATGTAACAGTGCTTCCTCTCTTTGTGCCAGGTGAAGATATTGCTCATTCCCACCGGACATACAACTCCCATGACTAAAAGAGTTCAAATTCCTTCATCAGATAACAAAAGCGTTAGACGTGAGCAACACTCAGCAAACTGACCATGATATTAACACAGTATAGAGAAGACCAGATGGATAATGAAACCATACTGCTGTTTCATATGTGGCTGTTCCTTGCTCTACAGACTGAAGAAGGTGGAAGTAAAGCTTCTCCAGTTTCACAATTTATGCCATTTTAATTTTTAATATGCAAAAAATATTAATTTGTAGTAAACAAGCTTTCTATTTCTCTGAATAAAGTGTAAAGACTGTTTATATCTCCTTGTCCATTTGTTGAAGCTAGATGTCACTGAGGAAACCACCACAGTTACGGATAAATAGGAAAAAACACCCAGCAAGAAAATGTTTAGTTAGCATGCAGCTGCTTCTGTTTCCCCAGACAATTATAATGTGCATAATCATTACACAGAAGATGTCTCTTAAGCATGAGAAAGAGGTAGGATGCAATCATGTGAGTGTGAGCCATCAAGGAGTTCATAAATGGCAACACAAGGCAGGTGATAGATGGTCTCTTGCTCCCCAGTTCTGCACAGCATCACACCTTCTTTTCAAACCACCTGCGAACCACAAAACACCTGGGAGGGAAAGCCAGAGACCAGCCACAGGCTCCGAGGAAAACATACGATTTTCCAGTACAGTGGCTGCTGGAAGGGGAAAAATGAGGGAGCGCATAACCAAACAACTAGCTCAACCTTCAAGTAAATCCACACCTGAATAAGTATATCCCTGCTGAGCAGAACTACTCTGGGCTTGATATGGCTCATCTTTCCTACCTAAGGAGGGGACTAAGGTACTCTACTCCTAAGCAGGCAGACAGCTAGTGGGCCAGAAAAATGAGTAGACAGAGCCTTGTCTCTTCCATTCCCATTTTTTGTCATGCCATCCAATGCAAATATGTCAAAGACTGTGTACAACCGTAGTACATACCTGATGTGAGGGAAGAGCCTCATCACTGAGACATGGGATAGAATGAGGTAAAGACTGCTGGCTGTTTGTGATGCACAGGCTTCCTCCAGCACAGGACCAACAGCAAGCCCCAGGTAACCTCGTATTAAGTAGGGAGAAAAGATTTTAAGACAGAAAATTTACAGCTTTTACTATGTGCATATTTGCTGTTAATTCATTCTAACATTAACATAAACAAAACTAATATCAAGTCTCTTTTGGGGATCCCTTAACAATTTGTACGTTTTCCAGATTCCTACAGGAATTTGTAGAATTCCTATGCTTCAGTAACAAAACCTCAGCTGCACAAGTTTTAAGAATGTTTTGGAATGAACTTCAATAAATTCTGAAAGGGTTTTAACAATGTGGGAAATTAACTGTTAGTCCACCTTCATGTTGCACAAGCAGAGAATTTGACCCAGGTACATAAGAAGAGGTTTTATACTCCTTTGAGCTAATTTATTCAAGATCAGTGTAAGGCCCTTTGCTCTGAATTGCAAAGACTGCAATTCAAAGACTGAATTGCTTCATGACGTATACAAATCATCCTGCCTAAAATGATTTAAATAAAACTAATTTTAAAATATAACGGGTTCATTCATAATACTTAAAGTGGGAATTCATACTCTGCTTGCCTTATAATAAACTGTCAGGGCGTATTAGTTTAAGAAACATCCCTATGAATCACTTTAGATTGTAGGCAGTTGTGAGTTGTCTTCACAAAAGAGAAGCCATAATAACTGCTTAATGATGCTCGCACTACTGTTATTACTATTATAACAGTGAAGTCAATTAGCTTAAACATTAAATTATGTAATCAAAGACAGCTCAAAGAGCTATTTTGTAAAACTGGGAAGAAAATTTTGTAAAACTTTTGAGAGTTAAAAAAAATTATCTTTTTACATGAAGACAACTCTGAGATCACTTTTTCCACAGAAGATGTCAGAATTTAGGAGTAATGAATAGTCCCATATTTATGGCAGCCCTCTGGAGAATAGGAAACCCTAGCTTAGATCTTCCTTCTGCTTAAATTTGAAGACTTGACCTAAAAAGCATAAACTGGGTAGCCCATATCTCAAGTAAAGATTGCAAACCCCATGCCGGTTTGTGACCAGCTGGGCTCTCTAACCCAGAATATGTGAGCTTTTTCCACAAAAACAGTGGTGGGAATTGGGATGTTCCCACTGAATGCTCATTTCAGCATGTACAGAATCAGTTGCTAAACCTGACTAGAACATTTTCTCTCTGTGGTGACTTACTACTCCATTTAGCAAACTTTTTTCCCCACAGCTCTCCTGGGTGGCTTTTGTACAAATAGCCCCTTCACTTCTTTGTTTTCAGTTAGCAAGTGCTTAGTCTGGCACAGTGTAAATATGCCAGCAGTCATCACACAATGTTTGCTCCTTCTGGTGATGGGAAGGAACATCTTCCATGCTGCCAGGTAGAACCAAGGCTTTCTCTGGCTTCCAGCTTTCCTCTGCAGCAACCCCCAGAGACTGGATTTCCCCGTGTGCTCTGCTTGGAGTTTTTTCTTGAACATACTTCAAACCTGCTGTAGATTATTATACCATTTACCAGCTCTGCTATGTCTTGCTAAAAATGTAAAGCTCAGAGCATGAACAAAGCATTGCATATCACTGGTGCTTCACAAGACTAGATATTGGCAACAAGTAATTTTTTTTTTTCCTTGGTATAAAGGCATCCCCAGACAGTTATAGATTGTAATATATTTGGGGTAGGTCCAACGCCACAGTTTACAAAAACCAATTTTAATATGCAAGCCTCAAGGTGAAGTCTTTGAAGTTTCTTTTAAGAGGTGTGTGTCCTGATGTGTATTTCCCTCACATGAGCTACACTGGGTGTTGAAGTATCCAGGAATTTGAAACATCCAGGAAGTCTTTATGGAGAAGTCAGGAGTCATCCTGTAAACACCAAATAACTTTTCCTAAAAGAGGTTTTACTACAAACATGTAGAAAACTAAAGATGAGTAAAAAGGCAAACACTTTGTAGTAATGCAGCCATTCATGATTAATTACATTCATATATAAAAAAGGCAATGATATTAAAGTATTTTATAGAAATATATATTTCTATTGTTTGCGCCAGACATGTACATACTGGCTGCAGTTTCTAGCTCTTTGCTCCGGTACTTTTGAAGTTTTACAGTGCTGTGACTAACAGCACAAATAAAGTGATAAACATATTTGAAACAACTACTTCTGGTACCAACATTTAAAAATACGACTGAATGCAAGGTTTCATTGAGTAAAATGGGTTATTCTATCTGCACGTGAGCAAGTTAATGGTATGCTGTAGGGAGTAGGGATTTCCATCTCCACAATGTAGTAATTCTCCAAAATTAATTCTCATCACAAGCATAGTACAATAACTGATAAAATGCATGTGTATCTGTATGTTCATCATATGATGAACCCATTGTTACAAAACTGTTCTTGAAACTAACCTACAGCACTAAAACTGTATAAAATTGACAGAGACAGTAATATTTTTTTTTCACCTTGAGGTACATGAAAGCTTAGGGTGCCAGGTCACCAGACATTAAAACTCAATATTTCATAAAGACCATGATCTAAGCTAAAGATAAAATTAGAAAACTCTTACTTTACAGGGTATGAGATAACTAACTGAATGAAAAGGTCCCAAACCAAAGAGCTGGGTCAGAATGGAAGTTATTTAGATGCCTAACAGATAATTTCATACCAGTCAGGAAAGTGCATTTTCACTTCTGTTGAAGCTATACAAGGCACAACTGCCACTGCAGCCCCAGGACCACCTTGGCAGTAGAGCCAGAAGGTACCCATGCATCTGGGAGACACCTGGGGCTGGCTGAGGAACTTGTCTAATTCACATTCCTTCCTTGACACAGGTTGATCCCCATGGAAACATGCTGCTTAGCCCACTTGAAATACGAAATGACGTCAGCAGCTCAGATGTGTTTACGAGTCTCCGTGACCCCCGAGCCACCACATACACGTACGACAGTGCCAACCTGCAGTACAGAAGAGCCACTTCCAGCAGAGACCTCTACAGTAGGAGTGCTTTGGACAGGCACAGGCTTCATAAAAAAGGACGCTTACGAAGAAGGGCATCCCAGATCAAAGTCAAAATCCCTGATTTGACTGATGTTAACTCGATAGACAAGTGGTCCAGAATGGTCTTTCCCATCACGTTTATTCTTTTCAATGTTGTTTACTGGCTGTATTATGTCCACTAATTTATGCAATAATGTTACCATAGACTAACATAATTAGACTTGTTTCTTTCCTTCCCAATTTTGTTAACTCCAAAGAACTGCAGTAGCCATAATGTTACATGTTCAAGGTAAGATACCCAGCCATTGAATACTTCTAGATTTAAGCTTTCAAGAAAAAAATAACAAAAACCAACAAATCCAGCCTCACTACATTCAGATCAGAATAGTACACATCTGCTCTTACAGAGCGTCTTCAGCAAAAGCGCTATACCTCGATTTTTACAAAGAGTTTGTGCATCACCCATGACCTTTCCGTACCTGTTTTTATCTCTTATTTAAGTGGAATAAAAATTAGTCTTACTGTATTCCCACAGCAGCATGCTTCCAAACAAGATGGTAAAACAACTCAAAGTAGTAGTCATGTAACAGTCTTTCAACATTTAGAGTGTAAAGAAATTTGAAGAAATAACTGTTTGAAGGATTATAACTATTACATCACACATCATTTCGAAGTTAATAGTTATACTAGGAAGTATTTTCATAGTGTATGTGAGAACTGTCACTCAAGGAGATGTAAGTCAATTCACATTTTCAGAGAGGCAGGGATCTTCAAAAGAAAGAAACGGCAGCAGAGACAAATCCCACTGAGTTTCCAGCTAAGGAATCAGCTGATTGGACCTAACTGGAATTTTGTTATTTCCACAAAGTAGCGAAGTTGAAATTGATGAGAACAATTGTGCCATCTCTAATTTTGTATTAAAAAGTAGAAAACAAACACATGATCATCCCTGGAAGCAACTACCGAGGGATACCCCAGCCCAAGAGTGGCTACTTTTCTCGACTCCCAGGTTTCCTGTGGCTGGTAATTGCGACACATTCTCAAAAAGTTCACAGATGTCTGAGAACAGATCTGAGAAGAGTTCTGCACACAGTTTCCTACAGATTTCCTTACTCCACTGAGGAACAGGAGATGCAGCTGAGTCTTACGGCACACTGGTGATGTTGGGTACACTGGTCCTGAGGAGTTGCCTCTCCCCACCCGGCTGCTGATCGCCTGACACAACCACAGCCAAGGAGCTGCAGGCGAAGTGCTCAGCAAGCTGCATGCAACTGAGGAGCAATAGGTCAGTCATCTCCTACCTGTATCAAACCCATTCCCTTTCTCTATTGCCAGTTATTTCCTAACGATGTTTATACTATGTTGCCTAACATAGCATTTTGTTGAAACGGAACTATTATCAGTTAAATTTTATTTTGTATTGAAAGCGTTTCATACTTTTCAGAGAGTCAAGATATACAAGCCAACAGAGTCTATGTAGGTACCAAGATGATTGTTATCAATGCCAGCTGGTACAGAAGGAAACATTGATTGGGATATTAGGCAGCAATATCCGCAGTTAGGAGTTAGTAGGGAATACAAATGAGCGATGTGGAAAGCTTCTTCACCAGTTCCTCATTGCCTGGCAGTAAGGTCAACTGATAACCTTATCTCCAGTTGACATTACAGCTTTTTAATCAGAAGGTAATAATAAATGAACCACTCTTACATGTTAACGTTTGTCACATCCTGCAAGGCCTTGATCTCCTAACAGATCAGGACCTGCCGCCCCTTCTCTTTGTGCAGCAGGCTTCTGCAGAAACAGTCTGGAATGATAAATCACCAAACAAGAAAGGGAATAGCTTTAATGTACTCATTACAAAAAATAAAAGGCTGAAAACCAGGCATTTGACATTGTTAATCTAGGAGGGTCCTTGAGACTATCAGTCTTTCCATGGGCTCCAAAGTCCTAGTCTCATCCCAAGTTCAATGGAGTACAAAGGTGGTCTTCTCAGCTGTCTCTTCTCTGCTACAACCTTTAATGTCCAGCCTATTGAAGAGTTGCACAATCTTACCGGATTAATCAGCCACTAGGTACAATTTGAGATGATTCAGGATAATATTAATTCAGTCAAATGGCTCTTCTGAATAGGGTACAACTTGTATGCTTATCCCCACCCTAAAAGAACTCCAAATAATTTTTCAACATTTGCACCATATCGGCAAACAAAATAAGAACTGCCACACATCATCCCGCATGGGACATTTTGATTAATTTTTTCGTCAAATCTAAACATTGTTTAGATCAAGAATCATTTAGTGGCAACTAACAATAATATTGTGGTATCATAAAATAAACAATACACAGAACATATAGAAGTCTTGCGTGCTCAGCAAACTGAACTTTCCGTAACTGCAGAAAATAGCCCCAGGAGGGAGACAGCAGTAGGGCCATATGTGCTGTCCATTCCAAACACACACCCCATCAAACAGCTTTGAATTCAACAAACTGGCACCAGACTTTACAAACAGAGAGAATAAGTCCATAAGCCAGTGAACTTGCCAGCTTTGTGGTTATACACAGAAATAAATTCAAGCAATACATTCTGCAGATTTGTAATGTAAAATACTCTGAAAAACAACTGTCAGTGGCCCATGTTATTGCATTACCTGATTTTCCAAAGATATTCACAGACAGACCACAGGTCAGTAATTTAACCCAGCTGTTCCAGTGGTGTGGAGACATTACAACCCCTCCTTACAGCACAGTGGACATTTAGGAAGAACCAACATCCAACATGATATTGAAACAAGAATTTAGGTAATAGAAAAGGATCCCTTGCCTTCTACTACAAGAGCAAAGATCAGCTCTACTGGTTTTCAGCATTTTTTCTTGTAGACTCCTAACATCTGCATATACATAGTTTCTAGCTTATGGATCATCCAGCTAGTTCACACACAGAAGTTAGGCACATGGGCTAAAAGCAGCTAGCATTCTACAGTTCCAAGAAAAAAAAAAAGGGGTATGGAGCAGAGGAAGGGCCATTCACAAACCAAGAGCAGTGCAAATGCAGAACTCCTTCAGAACAGCATGTTCCAAAATAGATGTTAAAGGAGCGGTTGCCACTGGAGCATTCACCCACCATCCAGGGAGTCGCACACGCTCCACCCGAGACTTTAACTGCTAGGACCGGAGTCCCTTCACAGCAGGCAGCTTCACTGAGCTGACGGGTGCCCCTTTTTGACTCCTCGCTCACACACACACTCACTCTCAGGTGCATCCTCTCCCCTCAGGCTCGACCCTACGTTTCCCCAAAGCGGAGTCTTCGACGCGATGTACGCAGGCGGATTTATTGAGTGGTACAGGGGTAAATGACAGCTCAAGCTGGGTGCCTCTGGAGACGGACCCTGAACGAAGAAATCCCTGGGCAATTATACCCTTGCAATTTAAGTTCCACTCCTGTCATGTGACAATTCAGTCCAATAGCAATATTTCGGTCTGGGGTCGTCTTGTTCTTTATTGGATCCTTTCTCTGTCTCCAGCTGAGACATTCCTTCTCTTACGTTAATGGATGCAGCTTCTGCTGATGGTTGTGGCTACCTTATCTTTCCGGTTTCAGGGCCTTCTTTCATGTAGCTAAGTAGGAGTTCAGCATACAGTCAGCACATCTAGGTGAAAATTCACAGTTTGCAGCCCAAAGCTTTAACAGGCCTTGCTACTAACACTTTGCATCAGACCCTGTTTGAGCTAGGTGGTGCCTTCTGCCACACAGAGGGGTCCACCCTCGTGCATCAGTCGTCCTTCAACACACGCCACCGATACAACCCCCAGCCCTGCTGCCACTTTTGAACAGCATGCAGCAAGGCCTGGCCGCTTCAAGAGCTGGAAGCTGTGGTCGTGAGTGAGGAAACAGCTGCCAGCTCTCAGCACAAAGCTTTGCAGCAGGGGCTAATAACCGCAGCTCATACAGAGGCAAGAGCCACTTATTGCAGGTAGGCAATATCTTAGCCCAGAGCCAGCATCTCCTGCCTCCCACTGAGCTCCTGTCTGCACATTTAACTACTAACTCTGGTAAAGAAAACAGAATTTGGCACACGAGCTTGCAAGGCACATTGGATTTAAACTAAACCTTCTTTCAAAGCCTCAGAAGAGAATTAAAACCAAAACTTGGGAACAGGGTGTATAACCATAACTAGCACATTTTCCCTCTTTCCACTACTTTTAGAAAGAAAGCGTAAGAAAATATTTCTCACTTGAGAGCAATAGCTTGCCAGCAAGGAAAAGGCTGTGGTTATTAGAGGCACAGGATGGAAAAATGTGGCTATGTATGGGTTACCCATGTACATTGCCATCTGGAGCTAGGAATTAGTGAGTACAAAAGAAACACAACCTCTTCCTGTCAATAGGTTGGAGTCATTTGGCTAGCTTTAAGCAATAAATGTGATAACGCCATAATGCTAAGCTCTGTCGCTGTTGTCTTTTAGTAGTTATCTTGCCTGCCTGTAGGAACCAGACTTCAAGCTCAGCATAGATAAGGTCCTACTGCTAATTAGGTTTCAGGTAACCCCCCCTTACAATTTGTGCCACTGTTTCATGCAGTTTGTGAGTCTGAATAGATTATTTAAAGAAACTTGCAGTGGAAGTCCTTTTTAGCTAGGTTTTCCAAAGATGCGAGCTTCTACTGTCACTCTGTGTGTATGTGTTTGCCTATGTGGGAGTCTCCCAAAAATATCTGAATCCATTGGCAGTTGCAACCAAAAGATAACAGAACAGTAAGAATCTGTGAGATAATACATTCTTACAAGTTTTAACAAAGCAGGTAGCTGAGCAGAGGACAAAGGTCCTGTTAATCCATCCCTCTTCTCTGGAAGAAAGGGACTCAATGAAACACTACTTTATTGGTCATCAGAGAATCCACACGGGAGGGCAATTCAATACCCAGATCCACAGGGAAAACAAGGTTCATTGGTTTTCATGCTCTTGAAACTATTTATTTCACACTTACAATGATCTTTTAATCTCATTCTAATCTTGCTTCTCTTCAGCAGTATCCCACCTAATTATGAATGAAACAGTCAGTGGCTAAATTGGCAACATGTTTGGAACAGGTATTTCCCCAAGAGCAGGGTAAATTAAATAGCTCCTCTGTGCTTGTCCAAGCCTTCAGACTGGGATGAAGCCAGCCAGGAGACTGCAGTGATT